ATCAAAGTCAAACTCAACAATTAATTTCAACCATACATTTCATGTGCTTTAATCAATTTTTCAACCACACATTTCATAAATCTCAAAATATACTAAAAACCTGAATTTTAGCTACGCCAAACAGGGGCTTAATCTTTAACATTAATGAAGCTTTCTTGCCATCATTATTTGCTGGATGGACTGAACATTTCAAAGGGGAACTTGTGACTTGTAATCATGGCATTACTATGAGTAACAAGATTCATATCATTCCTACTACTACAGTCCTTGTGTTATTGACTTATTGAGATGTCCTAGTTTTGAACAGTCAAATCAAATTTCTGGAAATGATATTGCATGTCTTTTTGTGAAAATTAAAGAATACCTTTTAATAAGTATTGCCTCTGAAAAATTTCTGTGATTTCAAAATATATTAGTCAAAATTGTCAGTTTTTGACCTTGCACAGTACCGATAAAGTGGGCCGAACCATTTATTTGATACCAAGTGTATCATGCGAATCTCTGAAGTAGTTTCCTGAGAACATGTAAAACAATGTTGATGGCATAATCAAAGTGTGTAGCAACAAGTCCTCTCAATGGGTAAATCATATAATCTTTAAATGGTTAACGGTTTTTCACCGCTGCTTCCATGAGATGCATAGCAGCCTTACAGACATCTGATCTGGTCAAAATATTGATTGATTGCCTCATTTACAATTCCTTTTAATGTTAAACAATCTTTACACGAGTTATGCTTCATCTTAAAGAGATTAGTCATATTAACATTCTTGTGTGCTTCTTAATGCAGGGCAGCAGATTGTCAGGTGATACCATTATTTTATATGAGTTTTTTGGTTTTTTTGAGATATTATTAATAATAGACATCTTAACTGAACCGCTGTATATATTTTTCAATGTAATATTGAGTGTTGTATTGGAAGCTTCCCTCCTTGTCCTTACTAATGTTTTGAATTGGACCTTAGCCGGCTCGAACAAGAAATTTGACCTTATTTGCTTGGAGACTTTCACTATCCTATATGCCAAAATTTCCGTTAATACCACAGATGACCATTATTGTCGATCTGTAAACAAATATATTTAAATATCCTGAACATGTGGTTAATTTTTACTAAGATAGGAACATAATGGCCGTCGTAAAGTATGCCCCCGTTTGGCCCCCATTATTTCTCTTTAAAATATAATTCATTTTTATCACACATTTTTCAATAAAATAAATATTAAACATAAACCCAAAAATTTTTCCTTCTTTTTTAACCACACATTCCCAAAAAATTACTATTCCTCTCGTTATAATTTGGAATAATGGGGCCAAACAGGCGCTATATTGCTCAAATTTTACTTGGGCAATTCTATGAGTCTTTATTTGCTGGATTTTTAAAATTGTATTTTTCCTTTCAGGCTAGGCTAATTATTGAGTCTTTATCTACTTAACCTATTCGTGTGCTATTAGTGATACTTTTTAATACACAAATGCAACATCTAGGAAATGCTACAGCTTCCAAAGGGAAATGAACTCTGTAGCAACAAGTTGGCACTTTCCATGCTGTATAACATCTATTCGTCACTGAAATTTGCGAGAGTTAAAATTAGAGTTTCATTGACTAGTGCCTACTCTCGTGTAACAGCTGTATGTAGCGACTTGCTCGCCTGCCAGAGATTCTAATTCTAGTTATGTGGCTTGGGGACATTCTACTCTTGTTGGACCAGTGAGTATATGATTACATTAAATTTTGTGTTGAATATCTTGCTGCAATTTGTCGCCGTGATTTTGAAATAACAAACCATCAGTTTTGAGCTTGTTTAATTGAATCCTTGTTGATATAAAAATTTACTCTGCTTTCTAGAATTTTATTATGAAAAATGGATACTGAATACCTAAAGGAACTGGCTATTTTCAGTTTGGAGAAGTAATTGCAACGACAGAGCATGATGAGGCAATAGTTATTTCAGAGATAGATTATTCACTGATTGAACAGAGAAGGTAAATGCTAACAAATCTGCATATGGATCACAATTTGAATCACTCTTTTCAGGCTTAAGGGCCGTTTTGCATGGCTTTTAAAAAGGAAAAATGAGTTTTTGAGACCAAAAAGTTATTTTTGGATCTGTTTAGCTAATTTTATAAAAGTAATTTTTCTAGTTAAAAGAGCTTTTAGAGTAATTTAAATTACTCTTTTCAGGCTTAAGGTAGCTTCCTCCAAAAGCTCTTCTACATGAAGCAAAAGCGAAAGTAAAAGTAAAATCCATGCCAAGCGGGCCGTAAATGAATGTTTATCTAATTATTTCCTCATCCAAACCTCCATATACATGTTGGCTTTGGTACTTACCATACGATTTGAGTAGCCATTTTCCTGATTTCTGAAGAATTTCGAATTTATGTTTACCAGTTTTGCTAGTTAGGAATGAAGCAAATACCTTTACTTTTTTTACTTTTTTGGGCGGGGATTTGAATACTGTGTTGAAAACCTTATTGTTCATTGGAGAAAATCCTTCATTGTGATTTACTATATCTGGATAACAGTTCTCAGTAACAAAATTATCTCCTCTGGGACTCGTATTGGGATAGGATGAAGGTTATAATCTGACTGACTTGTGACCTTAATTTCATTGATTTGTGGTTGCAGAACATTCCTTCCTTTCCAGAGGCAACGCCGAGGGGATCTTTACCAGTTGGTTGATGTTCAGAGGCTGAATTCCTCAAGGACCAGTTAAAGACATTTAGGAATCGATATAACTGTCGAAGGAAATATCAATGTTTAGAACATCTTACCAGAGACATTAAAATTGACTTGCCACAATTTTCGTTATTGCTAATTTAGGTTGGTTATGATGTAAGAATTGAGATTTTTTTTTTCCTTGGTTCAAAGGGAGAAAAATTGCAATAAATGCTCCTTATTATGCATTTTTGTTCAATGTTTTTGATAAAGAAAAAAAAGGCTTGCAGCTCCCAGCCTTCTCCCTGCCTTTTTGATGTTACAACCTGGACCTTTTTTCTCCGTTCTTAGGGTAAACAATCATAATCGTCACTGTAGTTTCAATGTTGATTTCCAATTGTCTTTAAATTTATTTTTCTAAAAAAATTCGATTTGCCAATGTACTTCAAAAGTTGTTTCTTAGCAATCATTAAACTTTTAACTTTGTCTCTTGCCTTTCACTTTGGATCGTACGAAAAATTAGAAATTTCATTTGTTATCTCTTCAGAATCGTTAATTTTTAAACAGAAAGAAAGAGCATTTCGATCCTCAAAACTATTCGCAAAACTGTCTGTGTCAGCAAACAAAAACTGTATAATCGCAGCACATGGGATTTTAATCAGAAAGCATTTGAAAATTGAGCAATATAACATTCAAAAAGGGTAAATAAAATAGTACCTGCAAGCAGACAGCAAACTAAAGGAAGCTGAACTCCACCTTCATAGCCATTTGTCTGAATCACAGGCACGCGTGGGTAAGGTTAAAAAACATCCTTTATGAAACACTCACTCACACGTGCACACACAACAGCACGAGCACGTGCACGTGCACGTGCAGTATTGGGCAGTACTGAACTGATAAATAACTTTTGTTGTTCGTTAATCTTCTCATTGAGTTCAGTATACCAAATGTTCCTATTTATGATAAATGAGTGTGTGCGAGCTCTTCAAATTTCTATAGTTAGCATCATCACTCTTGAGAGATGGATATGAGGGAAAGACAGAAGCATCAGCCTCGACGTAAAAAGCAGTCATTTTCGTCGTCTCTCCTCGATGCCATTTATCATTCTATTGATGATTCAAAAGGCCTAGAAGAACAAGAAGTGGGAGATTTTGTACTTCGTGGAAGAAACAATGTTGCAAAAGTCGAAGAAAAAATCGAAAGCTGTAGACGGGCAATCATGATCGAAAAATGGATGGACAACTACAGCAGCATCACTCCAAGGCACTTTGCTTCAAACTCAGGCTCATCCTCTAAATTCGAGTCGTCGTCACTTTTTACAGGGCAGAAACTGAATCAACGTCGAAATCTCATTCTTGAAAGGCCCTGCAAGATTTCACCATTGGATATGGATCGAAAAGGAGGGTTCATGAGAACAAAATCAAAGATTTTCCGAGAGTCGAAGAAGGTGAAAGAGCCCTATTCACCAGGTGCTAAAATTGCCAACTTCTTGAATTCTATTTTCAGTCCAAGAAATCTGAAGAAAAATAAGGGCGTGGAGGAATGGAGTTCAGCGAGGAAATCTAAATCAATGAAGGACACAACAACATGCTCCTTGGCTTCAAGATCTTGCTTAAGCAGAACAATGTCTTTGAGAGCCAATAAATCCAAAAAATCTGTCCAATTTTCCTCTGTCAGCAATACTATTGTAGAATATAATGTTGGCAGCAACTTCATCAACAAAAACAGAGACACTTTTCGGGATTACGAGGGGAAGAATTTTCGAAAGCATGAATTCAGAGAGAGATATGAAGATGATAGTGATGTGGATGATAAGAGTTGTGCTAGTTCTGATCTTTTTGAGCTTGAGAGTATTGGCAGGGTTGGAATTAGATCATATGAAGAAGATTTGCCAGTTTATGGAACTACAAGTCTTAAAATGAACAAGGCCATTGCTAGTGGATTAGTTATGTAGTTCAAATCGACACTGCTTAACATTAACAATGTAGATTCAAGAATTTAAGCAGTTTCTTGTATTGAATTCTTCTCTAGGTTCATGGTAGATGTACGGACTAAATGAAGTGCCGAAAAATGATTTATTCGGTCGACCACAATTGATTAATTGGGAATTGCTTGTTTTTATCCGAAAGTTTGTGATTTGGTTTTTGATGAAGAAATTGTAGATTTATTCCGGCCAAAATGAGTTTGTTCCATAGTTATATTCCATAATAATAAGTTCGTTCCATAGGTTATACGTCTTCAAATATGATTTATCATAGGCGGTGTTCTCTTAGAAACTCAAACTTGTGAGACCAAGGAAGGATTTAGTGGTTGAGGTGCAATAATATGGACGTCATTACAAGTTTGAGCTTCTAAGATAGCCCCGTCTACGATAAATTATGCTTGAAGACATTTACCGTAAAAGATGCGAGACTTAGAGGCGGAGCCAAAAACGAAATGGAATGGGGACATCACTTAGTTAAAAATGAAATTTTAGAACAATGTACTAACACAAGAATGTAAAAAGACAAAATATTTTAAAGACAAATGATATATTTAAAATGAAGTGAATTTTTTTTTCAACGCTACTTTCTTGAAAAAATAACATTTTTTGGTTTAGTTAAAAAAGTTGATAAAAAATTATATCAAAGTCAATAATTAATATTTACTACACATTTTATTGGACTCACAACTTTTGTCAACTTTTTAACCATATATTTCATCATTTTTTTTAAATCAAAATCTACTAAAAAATTGATTTTTAGCAAAACCAATCATGAGCATAATTTCAAGAACAAAACAATTTATGTAACAAGTACTTCATTTAACATTGTCTTCATGAATTTTACAGATTTTGACTATGCAACGTTTGCCTAGTTGCATTCACAAGTGTTCACTAGGATTACATTACATTTTTCAAAAATTCAGTGGGTGGCTCCACCAATTGTGGTACTAGATATGCCAACAACATAAAAAAGACTCGTTATTGAGACATTTAGTAAAAGAGATAGCTACCTCTTATTGAGCGTCCAGCTGAACTCCAAAATTTAATTTTACGAGCGTTGCTCCAACAGATAATAAATAAAAGAGAAAAAAAGGCGAAAGAATGGCACTTTGTGATGATATGATAGTTATTTGTTTCTTTGGATTGAAGGAAAAATAATTTCCATTTTGCCTTTTGGGATGTTACTATTTGACCAAGAATTCAATATATTTACCACCACCTAATTCATGTGACATTGTGCTAAATAGAATTTAAAATTTAGGTCTCAACAAAGAGAAGTTCAAAAGTGACATCTTTAAGAGAAGAGTAAAAACCCAAAAGTCTCTGTAACAAAGGGAACTTTTATGATGTTGTCTGCAAGAGAATTGAAGCACAACATAAAAAGGTTCACACTAACAATTGGCAAAGGAGAAATGGGAACTTCAATCCTTTGGAATTGAGAAAAAGCAAAAGAGCACTATTTAGGAGAATAAGATAACTTTGGGCATTGAAAATGTTCCCTCATTGTCTAGTTAAAGTACGTTGAACTAAAGAAATGGAAAAAAATGATTCATATAATCGACTTCAAATTTATTGAAACTGAAGATTGTTTTATTTGATTCTTCTACTCCAAAGTATAATTATAATACCATAGCATTAAAGTTTAAAATTGATGTATTCTTGCACTGAAAGATTAGAGTGGAGTTTCTTGCTCTCACATACATTTTTTTTTGTTTTTTTTGAAAAAGAGGGGTTTATTCTAAGAATATCATGCTACATTTTTTCCAAATAAGACTCGAACCAAGATCATTGACTTTGTCATCTTCGTTTTTATCACTTGAGCTAAGCTTTGGTTTTACAATATGCTACATTTAAGAGTAATGCTATTTATCCCCACTGGGGATGAAAACACAGTTTAGGTGGCGCTAATGTGGCATTAAATGATAGGTGAAATTAAATAAGTAATTTAATTTCACATTTCATTTCATCTATCATTTACAGCCACCTAGACTGTATTTTCATCCCCACTGGGGATGAATAACATTACTCTACATTTAAACATCAAAGAAAATGATAAGAATGCTTGATGAGATGAATTGAATATTATAAATTCAAAAAGAAACTAAAAAGTTTATTTATTGTGCTAATTAGTTGGGTCTAGTATTTGATAAAGTTTTATTGTATAAAGGGCCCCATTAGGAATCTCATAAGTCAAAAATAGACATGATAAGACACATGATGCCATCCAACTGTTGCACCCACCCCATTAAGAATAGTAGTTTTCTGGATTTTGAATCATTCAAACACTAAACCAAAAAAAGACATAGGTTGCAAGAGGATTAGCCATGGTTTTGTTAGGCTTAGATTGGATAAATGATGAAATTGCACTAATGTTGCATAGCGTACATGTTTTAACGTACCTTTTACAGCTGTCTAAATTCTTTTCATTATTTTGCGTTGATTTTCTATCGGAATAAGATTTTGACCTTGTAGGATTCGATCTAATATGAATATAGAGATTCAAGACAAGACTCCATAAATTCAAGTCCGAACAAAACTAAATAACAAAGATAAAATACGAGCTTGATGTCATCAACATATGACTAAGAAAAAAGAAAAAATGACTCATAAATGTACAAAAGTTAGCTTAGGACATTTGTTGGCCTTCTTCGAAGCCCAAAAACAGAGAGAAAAAAAAAGGTTTGGGCCTGCACGTGCACTGGCAATTGGCAGGCTGGCCACAAAAGTTAATAAAGCCTGTCTAAAGAAAAGAAATGAGTAAGACGAAACCGCATGTGACCACCTTGCTTTTTAGTTTTTTCTCTGTTTAATAAGTGGGTCTGCACGTGTGTACGATAATGTGCGCCTAGGGGCGATTATGCGGGGATTATTATCTTTTTTTATTATTTTTATTATTTTTCCTTTAAAACTTTTTGACAATTTTTTTAAGGTAAAATTTAAAGGTCGTTTTACATTTGAAACTTATCTTTTTTGTTGAAAACTTTTGAAAAAATGTATAGAGTTCCTATAAATCTGTTTTAGATGTTTTGTAGGTATTATTTTTAATTATTAAATGATTTTTTGATTGATTAAAAATTAAAAAAATATTAAAATAAGCAAACGTCTTGACCTCCACACATCGTCACATTTTACGCCTTTTAGAATATTGTAAAAAGGTCACTTAGGCGGCACTTAGGCACCGCCTAAGCTCGAATATCTGGCAAAATGTCTCGCTTTGCGCTTAGACGCTTATTTTTTCCAATTCCTAAATCGCTTAATTTTTTCATTCCTCTCTTCCATCTTCTTAGGTGCACTTTATTAGTATTTTTATTTTTAAAAAGTATTAATTTATTTATTTTTTAAAAAACTTTTCATTTGACTTTAATTTCAAGTTTTTAAAAGATTTTATCAATACAAAAGTTAAAAATGACTTATCTAAATAGTTAAATTTGATTTGAAATATGATACTATCTACATTATATAATTATGATCTTGAGACTCATCATTTTGTTACAAACTCCAAAAGTATGTACGAAATTCCTATAAATATATTAAGTAGGATTTTTCTAATTGAAAATTGAAATTATGAAAAATATTACAATTTATATATTTCGAAAACTTCATAATTGTATAATTGACTAAGGATATGAATTATTAAGTAAATACAATATTT